GTAGCAGGTGGGTGGGACACAGGAAAGGCAATATATACAGAGAAGACAAGTAATGATTCTATAGCATCTTACTATGCTGATGGACAGTGACTGTAATGGTGTATGTGGAGGGGTCTTGATAATAGGGGGAGTCTAGTAACCATAATGTTGTTCAAGTAATTGCACATTAACCACACCAAAATAAATAAAGAAATAGATAGATAAATAAATAAATAAGAAAAAGATATTCTGTATTTTTTTTCTGAAAACATTTAAGTTTTGTTTTCCAAATGCGGGCCTTAATGCTGGAATGTGGTTTGCCTATAGTTGACATAAGGTTTTACAGTTTTCATATGCAGGTAGCCATTGTTTCAGCACTATTTATTGAATATACCATGCCACTGATTTATAATACCACCTGTGTCATGGACCAAATTACCATAGACACATGACTGTCTTTTGTTCCACTGGTCTATGCTTATAAGCTTGTGCCAATGTCACATCAACCATAATTACTAAACGTTTATACTAAATCTTGATGGTTGGCAAGACAAATCCCTAACTATTTTTCAAAATTATGTTGGCAATTCTTGACATTTTACTCTTCCATTTAAATTTGAACATTCACCTTTGAAATTACACACACACATACATAACTGCTATAGTGAAACTGCAATGAATGCATGATGTAATACAAGACATTACATCTTTACAAAATTGACTTTCTACTCATGAGATTATTATGACTATATATTACATACTTAAATTTTTATAATTTTCCCCACAAACATCTTCAGAATCCTTTGTTAAGATATATATCAAGGCCCCTTATAATTTTTTTCACTATTTCATACGGTATTTTTTTAACTGCATTTTCAATTTGTTGTTGGCATATAGGAATGTTGTTCGTCTTTTGTATGCAGATCCTGCGATCTATAATATTGCTGAATTCTCTTACTAATGTTAATGGTTTGGTTCTTTCAGATTTTCTATATAGGCAATCAGAGTGAGTAACAACTTATGTTATCCTTTTCAGTCCTTATGTTTTTCACTTTTTTTATTACCCTGAATATTATCTTCAGTAAAATACGGAACAGAAGTTGTGAGATTGGCATCTCTGTCTTGTTCCTGACTTAAAAGGAGAACACTTTCTGATGCTTGCTCTGAGTTTTATGGGATACTCATGTTAACAGAATTCCTTTATCATTACTATGTAGATAAGTTTATATCATGAATATGTTTTATGAAATTTTTTTTCTGTATCTTTTAAGATGATCATATAATTTTCTTGCTTTAATTTGTAAATGTGGTAGATTATGTCAGTACATTTTCTATTGTCAGACCATCCTTGAATTCCTGGGATAAATCCTCCTTAACCAAGATTGTGTTCTTTTTTTTTTTTTTGAGAGGGCATCTCTCATATTTATTGATGAAATGGTTGTTAATAACAATAAAATTCTGTATAGGGGAGTCAATGCTCAATGCACAATCATTAATCCATCTCAAGCCTAATTCTCGTCAGTCTCAAATCTTCTGAAGCATAATGAACAAGTTCTTACATGGTGAACGAATTCTTACATAGTGAATAAGTTCTTACATGGTGAACAGTACAAGGGCAGTCATCACAAAAACGTTTGGTTTTGATCACGCATTATGAACTATAAACTTGTAGATGATCAGGTGTGTGCCTGTAGACTATATGTTAATCCGAGCTAGACAAGGGCAATAAAACATCCACGTATGCAGATTTCTCTCAAAACAGAGGGGGTGAGGTTCTAAGCTTCACCACTGTTGATCCCCAATTTCTCACCTGATGGCCCCCCTGCGACTGTGCCTGTCTTAGGTTGTTCCTCCCATGAGGAATCTTACCCGACTCTGGCTAACCAGTCACAAGATTGTGTTCTTTTTATGTGCCACATTTAATCTGCTCATGTTTTACTTAGGATTTTTTGCATTAGAAACATAAAGTTGATATATGAAACTAGACTGTAATTTTTCTTTCTCTTACTATCCTTGTTAAATTTTACCACATTTATTAAATTAATTGGGAAACTTTCCTCTATTTTTTTACTTTCATTAAACTTTTATTTGCATAAAATAGGAATTATCTTTACTTGAAGGTTAAAAGTCATTATGAGCCTTAAAGGTTTAAAAGCATTATGGACCTGATATGTTTTACTGTGGAAAGATTTAAAACAAGTAAGGCGTGTTCATATGAGGTTGTATGTTCATAGAGATTTTCTGTTTCTTCGTAAAGCAATATATCAGGTAAAGAATACATTAGAATATTGGAAATAATGGACTCCCTTTTACAAAAAAGAGCTTAATTTTTTTCCTCACATAATAAGATAGCTAGATATAACCTGTCCAGAGAAGATGCAGCTGCTTAATGATGCTATCAGGGACGCAGGTTCTATCTTTCCATTCCACTATCCTTAGCTTAGAGGCCTCCACATCATGCTTATTACATTTGGGACTCAAAATAGCTGCTCGTGTCTCCAGTCAGTCCTCACTTTCTCAAGGTAAGAAAGAAACTTAAGTAGAAAGAGGTGACACCCCATATGAGGAAATCAAAAGCTTTCACTTAATTGTCCAAAACTGTATTACACAGCTCACTTAGCCATGAAGAATTTTAGGGAAGTACCTTTATCTGGGTACATTACCCCAAATAAAACTAGAGCTCTGAATTCTCAACTGGCAATAGCTGCTGTAGTAGTTTGGATCAGTTATATTCTAGGAAATTGTCGAGTCCACCTCAGTTCCTAAATTCTCTTAGCTTTTTAAAAAATCACTACTATATTTACACTTTCGTCTCATTTTAAAAGTCCTAGTATTATACATTGGTGTCTTTTAAAATTAATTTTTTTGCTGAAAGCTTTTCTATTCTATTAATCTTTTCAGAGAACCAGCTTTGGTTTTCTTGTAACTTCTAAATGCTTCTTTGACTTCTAATTCATTCACTCTGTGGTGTTTTTACTTACTTCCTTCTTCATACCTTTGTTAGATTTTTTTCCCTAGGTTTTTGTTGTTGTTCTTGCTATTGCAAAAGGTATTTTTAAAATTTCCTTTTCCATTTTCACCATGTTGGTATACAGAAATACAACTGTATAATGCCTGTTTGTATGAAAACTGTTGACAGAGTACATTATGACCCATTTTGTATTTCAACCATATATCTTGTTATCTTGCTAAGCGCATTTATTAATTTTGATAATTTTAGATTCATTTAGATTTTCTATCTACACAGCCTTGTCCTCTGCAAATGAATTTTATTTCTTCTTTAGCAATACTTGTGCCTTTTCTTTTTTCTTGTCTTGTTTTTCTTTTCTTTCTTTTCTTGACTTCTTATTTCTTGACCTTTCTGGCTATGAGGCTAGGGCCTACAGTACAATGTTGAGCAGACATGGTAAGAACTGATACGCCCTTATCTTGTTGTCAACTTTAGGGGAAAAGTATTCAGTCTTTTCCTTTGAGTATTATGTTAGCTTTGGGTTTTTGTAGATGTTCTTCATCTGGTTGAGGAAGATGCCTTCTGTTTTTAGTTTGCTGAGAGTTTTTATCATGTACTACTCATATTTTCTATATCATATTCTCTCAGTTTTGGTCAGTTGTGTTTCCATCATGTTTTTAAGCTCCTTAAATAAATCATCATAATTACTATGTTATCTATGCTATAATTGTTTCACTGTTCCCACATGTTAATGATCAACCTCTTATGCACCATTTCTTCTTGCAACCCATCCTTTCCTTCTAGGTTTAACAGACTTCTTCCTCCCGTACCTCCTATTATTTCCTATGAATACCAAGGTGAGTGATAAATTCCATTTTCCTTTTTGTCTGAAAATATTTTTATTTAGCCTCACTTTTAAATAATAGCTTAGCTGGGTATGACATTTTGGGTTACAGTTATTTTCTCTCAGCCCTTTCAAAATAGTATTTGTCTTAAAATGTTTCTTGTTGATGTCAAGAAGCATGCTTCTAGCCTAATGTTTCTTTGTATATAATCTTTTACAGCTTCTGATGTTATCTTGTCCATCTTTGAACACCTTCTAAAACCTCACTGGCATTTCTTTTAAAACACTATACTTTGTTATTTAGTCATTCTCCATATTTTAGTATTATTACCTTGTCTTAAGTCATTTTACATAGTTGCCTTAATGCCACCATTAACGAACAAGCTACCTGACATTGTAGTAAATGCTATACATCTTTTCCTATAAAAAGGCATAAAGTTCTCTTACGGAATGGGGAGAAAAAAGAAAAGAGAAGAAGATGAAAATGCCCTATCTGAATTCAGCAACAGAGGCTTGTCTCAAAGAGTGCCTACATACCAATTTGTTAACAATTGGCTAATGTTTAAAAACAAGTAACAAATGAGTAAATTATTTATGCATTAACTATTCTGTTCACAATTTATTATTGGTTTTCAACAGATGGTTGGCATTCTTATTAGGTACTTTTTAAACATCAAAAAAGTATTTGTTAAGCTCAGCAAAGTTTTCATCTGCCAGCACAGGATACCAGTGTAGATAGATCTGACTCAGACTGAATTTACTGAAAAGGGGAACAGACCCAACTATTCCCCAGCTGTACCTTCTAAGCAGTTCCATCAGTCGGGTTCACACACATCTGAGCAATTCTGAAAGAACAGGAAGACAACCTCCTGAAATCTATTTACATGAGAGACTGAAAAACCTCCTGGGAGTAAACTTATTATCTTAAGCAAAGAGAAGATTAGGTAGCTTGATCCTGAAACAAAGTCTTGGTTCTTAGACTAGAGAAGTAATTTTGAATGTACCACAGTTTCTGAGGCTGGCATTAGTCCCATCTCAGACCACCATGGATTCAAATCTAGGTTCTAAGGAGCAATAGGGCTAGAAACAAAAATGAAAATGCCTGTTTGTATGAAAACTGTTGACAGAGTACACTGTGAACCATTTTGGAACCCTCTGAGAAAGTATATCACAGATAACCAACAATGAACACTGCATACTGGCATCTCCACAGTACCAATATATTCATCAACGGCTGTACCCAGAAGCAGCCGCAACAATGTACACAGAAGAGATGCCTGATGGGAGGTGCAACACCCAGCAGAACGAGCAATGATGCATGCAGATGGGGCGACCAAAGGGCATGAAAGAACCACAGAAGGCAAATATTGGAGAATGGATTTAAAACATAATACACTATTAACTACTCAATAACCAGTTAACCAGACTTGTTTTTGAAAATACCTAAGATACCTCTTTAGTTTCCTAGAAATATTTGGGTGGAGTCTTACTAGAGCCTGGGAAGCAAAAAATTGGTGATATATGTAGCAAAAGGATCAGGTCTAATTTAACAGTATGGTTTCTATATGCAAGACAGGCACAAAGCTTCAAATTGAGAAAGTTGGGGGAATCCTATTTAGGAAGGTGAATGTGTAACCTATTTCTCAAATCTGCAGTGTAGTCTATTTTTGTTCATCTCCTACACTGAAAACAATTACAACTCACCATGAGTATGAATTTTAAAAAAGATTCTCCTGAATTTATGAAAATATTTGACTCTTTTAATAAACTGAAAATTCCCACACCTTCCTCTAGTTTAGACATTTTAAAACAGCTAGAAATCATATGCCCACAGAAATCTTTTGCAGAATGACAGCCAATATGACAAAAAATGTCACTGAGGAAACTTAAGTATGGAGATAACTGTGAAGTTTAACCTAATTTCAAAACAATATATATCACCTTACTGTAAAATAATACTTTATACTTACCTTTCTCAGGTATTCTCAAATTGCGGTAGGACATCTGTTCTGTTTCTCTAGGTAAGAAAATTAGTATGAAAATTTAAATGATTTCCTAGCCCAGATTCCAAATTAAAGCCCAGACCTCATCTCTCCTGCCTTTTTTACCAGAGGCAGCACTAACCTTCATTCTAATAAGCAGGTGTGCCGGGTGTCATGGCAATGTCACAGACACTTTGAATTAGTGGGGCTCAGGGGAAGACAGAAAGGTGACTCCAAAATACTGAGTATCAACCATATAGTATATAGAGTCTGCAGGCCACCTGAACTCCCTTCATGAACTCGACAAAGGCATTTCTAGAAAAGGATGAGTACGGACTCAAAGTGAGTAAGCTGGGGGAAGGGCCCCATGAGGTGCCACACGATCTCAAAGTCGTTTCCTAACTGCACTTTCCCAGCCAAAAATAACCAAATACTGAAATGTAGCCATGCCAAGAACTTCAGGTATCAGTTCAATTTCCTCCTCTTCTTTATGAATTTGTATTATTTATAAGACACTTGACACATGTTAAACACATAGCTCCTCAGTTTCAGGAAATATGGCTTGTTCAGCTGAGGGGAGAAAAGCATATAATGAGGGAGTTAACAAGGGCTGATATTTTTTTACAACATTCTTTAAAAACTGAAAAACCTCATTAAACATCAGGAACAGCTTAAATAATTCACTCTAGACCTTGGGGCCCACGCGGACGTCTCCCTCTCGAGCTCCCTGTCTGGCCCTGCTCTCCCCCGGTGTCCTCCGAGAGGGTGGGCCTGACGGGCGGCCACGTGTGGCCTCAAGGCCTCGCCGCCACTCATCCTCCGGCCTGGAGGCCTGGGGTGCGCGGCTCCCAGGGGACGTCGGGCCCCGCAGAGCGGCCCGCACCCTCTGACCCGCGGGCGTGCAGGGCGCCGGGAGCAGGCGGAAGTGCGGCCGGGAGGCCCGTCGCGGCCAGTGGCCGCCTGCCGGAAGTGGGTCCGAGGCCGCGGCGGTCCGGCCTGGGCGGCAGCAGTACGAAACGAGCGGTGCCCGAGGCGCTCGGTCGCCGGCCCCACCCCGGGGACCTGTACGGCCGCTGGAAAGGATCCCAGAGGCCAGGAGGCCGCTGCCCTTGGCCCGGCGTCCCTCCCTCCCATGGCGGGGACAAGGGCGCCCTACCGAGGCTGGGCCGCCGGAGGCCCAGGGGGCGGCCTGCAGGCCGGCTTCGCGGACTTCCGGCCTTCATGGCCGCGGTTTTCGAGAGGGAGGTCGACGGGAGCGGCGCGCTCTCGAGGCCCCCGCCCTCGCTGGGGTCCTGGGATTGTGAGGCCGGCCCTGCGGCCGGGCTGGGAGGAAGGAGCGGGAGAGCCGCCACCGAGCGCGGCCGGAACAGGGCCGGCTGCAGGGCTGCCGCGGGGAGGGAAGCACCTGCCTCCGCCCACCTCGACCCCGAGGCCACCGCCCGAAGCAGCCGGCGCCGCTGCCGGGCCTTCTAGCGGAGGTCGGAGGAGGGCGAAGCCCGGAACCTCGCGCCCTCGAGTGCTCCCGTGCGTGGGGCGGCCGGGTCCCCTTGACCGAGGGCAGATCCGCAGGGCGGAGAGGTGACTCTCCCAAAGAGGGGGTCTCAAGGAAGGAATTCCTCCTGCCTCGCTTCCAGAGTTGAAAGCACGGAGGCCGTCGGTTCTGCAAAGAGGAGCAGTCGAGCGCGGGCAAGCAGCTGATGAAAATAATTGTCCTCTCACAGCCCTGCGCCCAGGGGCGCGTGCACACACGCACATGCACACGCACACGCACACACAAAACTTGCTTCATCTAGCTGCCCAACCTTAGTATTCCAGGCATGCGGTTTTCAACAACTTGCTTGACACAATAACAAAGACATTTAAATGCCAGGACGCAGACTTCACTTTTTAACCTGCTGAGAGGAGCTAGTTTCAAAGCTTCCCCGCCGCGAATAAACTGACAAAAAAATATGGGGTGCACTTATAAATTAAACACCTTACCCTCAAAGCGATATGCGTTAATCAGGTTTCTAAGGCAATAGCCATCTCTGTCTTTTCCTATTCACCCAAATAATGCCACAAGAAGGAACCCCTTTACACAAGAGAGCTGGAGGGGGAAAAAAAGAATTATACCCATTGCTAGTAAAAATCATCTTAAATCAATAGAGCACCACTTGAACTTGAGTTTCTATTGTTTCACTGAATCATCAATGTTTTTAATTAAACAGAGCTACCCTTTCTGTTAAAACATTACATAAAAGGGTTAGGTTTCTACTTTTGTTGAGGCAGCTGGCGTTTGTTGGCTGTTGTGTTTGAGCAACAGACTGTTCAATAGAAGCGAGAAATAGCTCAACGCGCTCTTAATAGACCTGTTTCAACAATGTACCTTGAAAAGGAATACATTGTGTTATTGTGTTAGTTTGCTACAAACCTATTAAAAGAAAAATAGCATCCATCAGGTCTAACAAAATGCATTTGTATTATACATACTTATCTGCTTCGAATACACTTCTTGGCACAATGTCTAGAATTCAACTAGATCATCAAGAGCTGGACAGAACACATACCAGTTAGGTAATGATACACGGGCTAAAAAAATCCAAAAAGGAAGGTCTAAGCAGACTGCAATGGCTTTTTATTTATCATGAGAGACGAGACACAGGCAACCCTATTTCAAATGAATATGTATTGCAAAAGTGTGGACTACTATGACAAAAACAATTTTAAAATATTTAAATTTGTTAAATAACCTAGCATGGGAATATTGACTGAAGTCCCATATTTAGAATGAAACTAATGTACTTTCGATAACAGTTGACTTCAGAAAAGGGCTCAGGGCTGAAGTGCATTTTTAAAACAGAATTAAACAATGCAAAGAGCCTGGTTCTTTAGGGAAATGCGTGAAACAAACAAATCGAAAGCAAGGGTTCCAGCCAAGAGGTTGGGGAGCAGCGATGTCTGGCAGTATGAAAGGAAGTGCTTCTTGAAAGTGCTCTCTTAAAAATGACTTTTAAACTTCTTTCATTGAATTTTAAACACAGAACGAAATGAAGCAAAGAAATAGGTGACTTTGCCATTGTGAGACAGGATATACGGGATGTTTTAGGGAGGGCTGCCACTTGGACCACAAACCTTAGATAAACACAGTGGCAACTGATGAAGTTAATTTAGCTCTGAGATTAGCTTAGCAGAAAAGACACCCAAAGTAGCATCTGTCACAAGGAGACATCTTTTGCTTTCACAAAAGGCAGTCACTTTGGTTTCCAACCTCCAAGCACCCTTCAACTTTCAAGTGCAAAAATGTTGGGACACAAGGGAATAGTACACTACCTACAAATTAACTCAATTGTCAAAAAAAAAAAAGCTTACATAAATTACAATAGCACCCTTTGTGAGATATCCATGTTAACAAATAGATAAAGCAATATTTTGCCCAATAAAGTCAATGTTTTTTACATTTCTGCATTAGTAAATAATCATGTGAAGATTTAGAAAAATGTCACTCAAAGCTAGATGATAGTTTTGCCATATTATAAAATAGCTATGTTAGACCTTTCTGGAAGTCATTTGAAACCAGATGACTGATACGATTTCCCTCTTCAGTAAAAACATTTTCTGTGCTCAAGTAGGATGTGTATACTGGAAGGTGAGATGTGTTGGATTTATTCTGTAAGACTTTTCACTGATAAAGTCTCCTTTCTAGCCAAAATCAATTTTTTAATTAATTCCCTTGGATTTAAAAATGGAAATGAAATCATAAACCCCAAATGACTTATTATGAAATTAATTTCTCATAAAATTACTAGAAGAGTTGACATTTTCAGGGTGAGGTGGTTTGGGTTTTTTCTTCTCTTTTCTTTTTTAATGTATCAGATAATCTACCAAAGATGACAAGACATTCACAATAATTGGTTTGGCCATGACATGAAATGTTGTTACCAAAGTTTTGTAAAAAGCCTTTAACTTTCATTTAGAACTTTTAGAAATATTAGTGCATCAGAAGTTAAGCTAACTGGAGGGAAATATTCAGTGCATTTTAATTTGAAGACTGTTCATATAAAGAATCATGAAGAGATCATTTGAAAATCCAGCAGAGGAAAAATATATTTCAGAGGAAGATTGTAATCTGATTCCCTGTTTTGTTCTTATTAAAAATCCTTGATTCTTCACTCTTGCAAAGAATTTTCAATAATATAGGAAGGCTAAATATTTTCATTTGTTTTTCTTAAGTAAAAAGAAGAACAACAAATAGTCTGTGTTATAATTTATATCCCTTTAAAGAACAGGACAAAGAGGATCACATATAGCTTATTTTCTATTTGGCCCCCCAAATTCTTCCTAGAAAGTGACTTCTAGCCTGTTAATTCATTGTCACTAATACCTAGAGAAGTTTCAACCAAGCAAATCATTATAAAAAATAGTCTTTCCTGTTGCTGATCCTAAGCAGCATCTAATTTGAAAGATTCTTTAGAGAACATTTTCAAAGCATCAAGCCTCTTAACAGCTTCTTGGGCTGCCTTAGGAAAGCAAAAAAATATTTCAGATTTCCTTTTGCCTTCTTTTGCCTTTTAGCTCAGAAATATGGGAAGTAAGAGGGGTTGATATTTTTAAAACATTTCTGCCACACGTGATTATTTCAATGCCATTCTCTGGTGTTGTGTCTGAAAAAAGTGTGGCCGAGCCTGCTGCCCGCAGCGCCAGACATTCAGCCGGATCCACCCCTGGGCACAGTCGTCAAAGGGAAAAGATTCAGCTTCCAAACTTGATTAAAAACAGCCTAAGAGTTTCTAACCCGTTAAAGAACTGTGTGGTTTGAGAAGCTGGGTAAACTGCCTCCAGAGAGGAGTGGCTGGGGTCTATATCCTTTTCATACGGGAGCGGAGAGAAGCTCGAAAAAAGCAATAGATTCTGGGCTGCAGAAGAACAGCTTGTCCCTCCCAAATCTGCAGGTAAAATCCACTTTATACAATTTAGGTACTGAGAAAGAGCAGTTTTACCTTGTAATTTTTCACCTTAATTTAAAGGGAAAATGGAAATACATGCAAACACCCGAAGACCTACCAAGATGCTTTGGAAATGTTACCTTGTTTCTGTGTTTTGGGTTTTTGTTTGTTTGGTTTTGTTTTGGTTTTTATGCTTCCTTTTGGTAAATACTTCAAAATATTCTTCTCCACCTGAAGTATTCTGGTACAATTAAAAGAAAAATACTGAGATGGAAAAATGAACTAGAAATGAAGGTGTGTAGGCTAGTGAATAAAACAGATGCCTGTCAGCATCTTAAAGATGTGTTGTTTTTGCTTGTGATATTTTTATGGTGAAAACCAAAGACATACAAACAGGAATACAAACATGAAGAGAAGTGGGAGGTTCCCTGATGTGTCTGAATGAAAAAAATGAAAATTGCCTGTTTTCCCCTTCAATTTTAAATTTTACTCCAGAAAGTGATACAACTTATTTTTTTCATGGGCACAGGAGGAGGATACATATGATACATTTGGGGATTTTTCAGTAGAGCTGTGTTGAGTTTTAATTTTCCTGTATTTTAAAATAAACACTTTGACCAAAGCATGTTTGATCTTTGCAAGAAGGAAATATACATTGTAAAGGAATGTGCAGCAGTTGGGTATGAAAATGGGGTTGTGACTCACAGCTGCAGGCAGAAAAAAAAGGCGTCGTGGTGTCAGCCAGAGGTGTTCAGTCTAATAATTCAAGCTGTAAACTGTATCCCCTAAAATTACCTACATAATAAATCATTGTGTGAAGAAAAAAAGTTTGGACTGAAAAGTGTAAGTGAAACAGAATCCTCAGGAGACTTCAGTGCTGGGACCTATTGGCAATGATATGAAATATGGGTTTATTTTGTCCAAAACTTTAAGGATCAGAATAATACTGGAAATAATTCTCATACAGCTAATTTTTTTTTTTTTTTGGTCTTGGGTTTCAACACATTTCTACATAGTATGTTGCAGAAGGGGGCTTGTATTTTTTTCTTGCCTGATCACACAGCTGAAACTGTTTTTATGGGATTTACAGTCAATTCATTCAGCTTCAAGAGAAAACTAAATTCAATAATGGCTTTATTTTAAGAAAAATTGTATAACTAAGTCGTCAAATGCTTATCAAGAACGGAGGCAATAATCTTTCTAGAAGTTCCTAAATTCCTGTCTCAGATTTCATTGTTGTTTATTGGTACCAAGGAAAACACTGCATGTGTGTAAACTAGTGAATTAACTTGCCTAAGAATTCACTACTGGATTGAAACACTTAGACACTTAGGTTAGCAAAGCCAATGTCAAATCCTGAAGACTTGAGAGAGGAGTACGTTTGGTGATGGAATGCACCAGTTTGAAGTAGAAAAGAGCTGGGTGCCTGGAGAAAGGATGCAATTGTCAAGAGGAAGTTTAAAGGCCAAGGACACACGAAGTCTTTGAAACAATGAGGGTGAGAAGTCAAAAAGCAGACTCGACAAAGCCACACTGAAACAATTTATTTTATAGGATCCCCTACATTTCCAGAATTAGTGAGCAGAAGAAGCGCCATGCTGGGAACGCAGGCTGTGGGCTCTCGCGCTCCGCCGGCACTGCGAGAGGGAGAAAGTCAAGCTGACACGGGGCTCTTTCGCCCGGGCATTTCAAATAAAAATATAAGGAGGGGGGCGGGGAGAGAAGGAGACAACGAAGCTCGAAAACACTTGACTCCGACGAAGTCTGAGCTAAAGATTAACTGGAAAAAGGAAGTCCACAGCAATTAAAACCCCTACTCTGGCTCATTAGTAT